AATGTATCGCCATTGCTCCAAGTCATATGCTTGAGCTTCTTCAGGAGATGACGCTTGAGACCCGGGGATGTCATGAATAATGCCAGCTTTCAGCTCGTGTTTTCTACTTTCCTGATGATTGTTAATATCCTTTGAACCTTCTTTCCACAGAATATGTGGTAATATACGTACTCCGTTTGTTGTTCTGTGGTGTGGATTCACAACGAGCAGAATGGATTTCATTTGGTCCGCGAAAACTAGTGTTACTCGAAGTAGTCGAGGCTCACCATAGTGTAAGGAGTTTGGGTGTAGTGCGATGCGTCTCAGCGTAGTGCGTTCAGTGCGCATGCTGATGGCACTACAGATGGAATCCCACTGACTACGATCGTCTATCAGTTTACACCTTACTCTGTTGGATTTGGATTCAGGAACGTCAGTGCACACAAGACTTAAGGCACCGTGATTCTACCTGGTGGTTCGCGACTTAAAAGCACTGGGTTCTTTCGTTTGTTGTGAATTTGTGGACCGCACTGGCGATAGCGATCCATGTTAAGGCACGGTTTCGCCCTCTCCGCTAATTGGAGTCCCAGGTGTTTTTAACGGCGTTTTCCTAGAAGCACCTGCAGCGTAGGATGTCCAGTTATTCTTTACCGTGAGCTTGCTTTAATTTTGTGTCTCGAGTATTTCAACTGAATTATTAGTTATTGCACTTTTGGAGTGGGTGGGGTATAAACGACTTTCTCACTTAGTGGGTTCAGATGGCTGGGGGTCGTTGGAGGCTGAAACGCTGTGGTGAGGTTTGGACGCTTGGCCCTCTTCTTCGGCCTAAACGAGGAGTTTGTAGGTGTTCGTCGGGAACCAGCATCCGAAACAATCGTTTCAGGAATACTGAATTCTGAGATAAGACGGCGTAGGTGTAACAAAACAGTGGAAAGGTTGTGTATCTCATTTGAAAAATTGTGGGCACTTGAGTAAGCATCGACAGTTACCAGATAGTGGAAACCCTCCAGGGGTGCGGCAAAATCAATATGAATGCGAGACCATGGTTCACTTGGAGTTTGCCAAAAAAGGAACCTCAAACTTGACAGGTAGTTTTGCTGCCATAGCGCAGCTGTTACAAGAACGAACAACATTTTCAATATTCTGGTCTATTAATGTCCAGTAGGCATAGCTGCGGGCTATGAATTTTATACGACTGATTCTCGGATGACCTACGTGGAACTGACTGAAACATTCATCACAGCCGTTTGATGTCCATTGGGGAACTGATGCAACAAGACACCGCCGACACCGTTTTGCGATGCATCAGCAGCGGCAAGTATTGGTAACCCTGGGTCGTAATGAGTTAAAAGGAGATGGGAGGGCAATATTTGTTTAATGTCCTAAAAGGGTTTCTGGCACCGTGAGCGGATTCGTGCAGCCACTAATGCTGCGACAGCATGTTGCATTCGGAAGGCAAAGCAACATATGAGTTCCATTGACAAGTTAAAATATTAGTAAATCAACTTCGCAATTCTAGAGATTTTAGCTGCGTTGACGGGGCTTTAACGGAGAAACGAGCACTTAGCACTGGGGCACATTTTCCATCTTCATGTGCTGCCAGCAGATCAGTCTGTTGTGGTTAACAACGGCCCGTATTCTCCCTGATTGACAATAGAGCTGAAGCATGTGAATGGAGGGCTTTCTTGCTCTATATGCGGTGACTCCATGGGTCGGGGATGAACAACTCGATAAGGTTGGTTATCCACAGCTGCCCCATGCGTTCACGGCCCGGACTCCTTCGTATGATAGTTACTGAGTGTGCATTCTGAGAATGTCTGATATCTTTCTTATCGTCTACCTCGCGCTTACATACTCCGGCCCATGCATATCGACGAACCCAAGCCCTCCCCAAACGTGAACACATGGATTGCAGATGGCGAAATCGAAGGTAATGCTGAGTAACGCACGCACACTGTTGGACCGGATGCTCAGCTAATGTCCAACACTGCACCCTGCCCAAATGAACATGCGACATGATTGGTAGGAAAGGAAGCTGGATAACTGTACTGAGTCTGTGCTAGCTGTTGAACCCAGCCGCGTGAAATCCAGTGGATTGGACAGCCGAATGGAACCGAATTCAGTATGATGCCATCTAGCATGGGTCTCAAATTGAGTAGGTTTGGAACCTCTATCAGCATTCAAGATTCGAAATGCTTGCGGACCAGTAGCCTCAAGGACCACAAGCCTGCCTTGTAATCCGACGGCGCGAGTTCGAGCCTGCGTAACGGCGGGCGTCCTCACAGTATACTGAGCCCACGCGCGACTGGTGGTGGTTGCGCGTCAGCGAAGCTCCGTTACGGCCTACAGCTGACGGTTACACATTATATGGTGGTCGGCAAGTGCAAACTTTGTTTCTCTCCTTTGGGCTGGCCCCCCAGAGCCACGACTTCCTTCGCAAACCGCCGCCAATCGAGGTGACATGTAAGCTGCCAAAGCGATTACTGATTATTCGTAAGTAGTAGGGGGATGTATTAGATTTTTGTGTAGATTCGTCGCAGTTAGATACAGACAGCCACCACGCAACAAGGAAAGCGCTACACGGCCGTTTTGTCCTTCTGGGACTCGTCAGTAGCGCACATCTGCCGAATCCTGCCGGATTCGAACCGACGACCTTACTCTTGCGAGTCAGCGAATTATGTCACTGAGCTATTTGGACATCAGAAGGACAGATACTTCGGTCCATTGGGAAGTGACGAGTGAGTGAGCTAATCTGCAACACCAGGACAGATACTGTGAGCTCATTGGCAATATGTTGCGCACCAAGCACAAGTCATGTATTAAATTGCGCACCTAATCGTCAGCCCTCGGTAGCTCAGTGGTAGAGCAGCGGACCGGAAATTCGTGGGACCAGGGTTCGATTCCCCGTCCAGGCACATTATTGTGTGAAGTTTAATCGTGACTTCTACTTTCTAGGAACACTACACTACTCACCAAAAATCCACAAGTACCTTCGGTATATTGTCGTTTATTTCAACGAGTCATTTCAATTATTACGACTGACAATCAGGTGTTTCTGTAAATGGGTGAACATCATAGCATCTCAAAATGTTTGAAAGCAGCTTCAACCGTTTATCAGCTGCATATGGTTGGTTGGTAAATTATCCATTCTACCTTGGTTCGCGCGATTCAGCGTTTCTCACACACTGCTTAGGTGTGTATTTTTAATAGTATTGCTTGGGCAACACACTTCAATGCTACAAAAAGAGAAGTTAATTGTAGCAGAGAATCCTATACTTACCGATTCTCGTTCTGATTTCACAAACACATGCAAGTAGTCAGCGAAACCGACAGGGTACGAATATTTGTCATCCTGATGACAGAAAAGATCAAGCTTGCTCTCCCTGTAATGCAATCTGTCCAGACAGGCGTACGGGATGAATGTTTGGAGAGTTTAGCATCCATATCGAGCGATGTGCTGTGGTGTGGAACAATACGACAAAATTCCACAGTACATGTCCAAGTAATGAAATTAACGAGTAACGTATACTACTCAGTATTCGAGAAGGACGAACTCTCGGTTCCAACCAGATAATATTGGTCTCCTTGTTCGAGCAAGCCCACAGGGTGACCTGCGCCTAGCTATTTGACCAATACACTGAGTATGCAGTGTGCGATTACAGCTATCAGGGGACAAAAATTTCCCGCGGAGCTCATGACGATAGCTGACAACCACTATGTGCCAAGTGCCACTCCTAATTCAGGCTACTTCTACTTGACGGATTAAAACCAGGACGAAACGCGTCGTGGGGTGCAGGAATGGGAGAGATCAACATCGAAACCCTCTAAGTCATATATGGACCCCAGCTGAGTAGGTGATCGACCGATCGGTGCTCAAGATACCGAAGATTCGAATTTGCCCCATATAGCGAAATTGCAACGGGACCAGTGTGACAACAGTTGTCTGATGATTCATTCATGATTGATGAATTATCGGAACGTATTCCAATCTGCAACTATTCACATTCAGTTAGCCTGTTTGGTCACGCTGACACCTGTTGTTTTCCGTCAACAGAGAAACGCACATTACGTCGACCGAGCAACGCCTTACACAAGGATCATAGTATCTCTGTGTCATGCACGATCGAGCGTTTGGAGCTGTTGTCGTCCTGATACATGAGGTTTGACGAACGACACCTGTCGTTCTGAGACCAAGGACGCGACGCATTCGTAGAAGCGTCGGGAAGAATACCAGCGCGAATGGGACTCGGAGTATTTGCAAAGTCAGACTTAGAAAGGTGCTAATAGAAGCGGACGTAAAGAATAAAGGTTTGTATTTGTGTTCCTTCAATTCTTTTCGAGTCTCCGATCGCTCCTCCGTACTTCCACTGTGATAGTACCCAGTAGTTCGGATGAACGGAACCGACGCGGAACCAACGGACACTTCAGTCAAGCGCCGCCCAAATGAACTGAACAGAATCGTGGCGAATGCCAAGGGGGTTTCCTGCGACCACTTACATGAACACACGAGATAGGGCACAGGTTAGAGAACAGAGAGGAATTTCCCCGATTCGTCCATCTAAAATAGATCCCGCTACAGACAGATGAGAGCAACGGACAGTTGGACATTCTTCAAGTCAAGGAAGATTCCAATGATAGTCTATCGAGGAGTATGGTGCTGTTTTAGCACCTGTGGAAAAGTTAATCGTGAGAAACACACCCTTAGTCAAAGCGGAAGTTGGTCAAACCTCTACCAATGTGTTTCCCACGAGCAATAGTGAGTCGCCGTAGAATAATGCACGTAAACGGTTTGGAATTCATCCAGATAAGACTGATATCATGATGATTTTCACAGGATTTGCTTTGGCTCAGGTTCAAGATGAGAGTGACTGTTGATAATTGCATGTCACAGGGCATTTGGTCATTGTGCTAATTAGCGGCGGATAGAGGGGTCGAGACTCACTAGTGAGACATAATTTTCATCAATGAGATGGAAGATCGTCCTGGCTAGACGAGCTGTTGCGCTTAAGCGGCACTAGCGAATATCGGATATGGTCGATGGTGGGACTCAGTTAGCTATCATGATACACCGGGCTTGCCAATGTGCTCAACCCAGCATCCCGGTCGACATGTCCATTTTCTCACTGGCAATTCCATTGTTTAAGCTCCACTTATACAAGATGGGGGAGGGGGGGTAAGAACATGGTGACAAAAAAGCGTCTACTAATCGTGGGTGAAATACGATGATATAAATGCGATCGGAGAACCAGTTTGGCGTCGGTAGAGAGGAAGTCAGTGTGTGGGTGAAGTGGAGTGACACGAAAACAGGGACTGGTAAACAACGGAAACAGTTGCGAAAGAACAGTACAGAGGGGGTTTTGTGCATTGCACGACGAACGACTGCTATGGAGTGTGGAGGTGAGCGCACAGTAACATGTGCGAGAAACAAGAGGAGGGGGGACAAAAGTTAGAAGTAAGGCTATAAAATGATGGGAAACCAACGATGAAGAGGTGCAGAGCGAGTGATTGGTAGGAGGAATGGCGACGGGGACTTCAAAACACTTGGACCAGAAGAGAGGAAAGTGGACAAGGAAGGAAACAATGCGTTGGATAAGATGCAACAATCCGGTTGCCGGGATGTGGCAGAGAAGGAATGGGGGTGGATTAACCAGACAGGAGATAATTACAGCCGTTTGGATACGACTCATGCAGTTAGGGGCGCAAGAGTCTCACAGCAAGTCACATCTGAATTGTGGAACAATGGAAATCGCGGTGTTGGAGGTGTGTTAGGGTATCAAACTGAGAGGGCGAAGCATCTGCCGACACGCCGCGGCGACATGGTTCGGTGCACGATCGGAATCGAACAATGATGGGCACTGGTTTGACAGATGACGCATGTAGGCATCGCGATACTCTTCGTCGAAATGAGCTGAATACAAACCACACAGCAAGAGGAAGAATAGAGATGAGAAAGCGAAGTACAAAAATGGTGCGAGAGACACATTTCATCGTTGATATGGGAGGCAATAGCAAAGTTTATGACCCGTAAAGAATGTCTACTATGCAAAGACACTGGAGAGGCGAGCAGAAACCGGTTCTCCCACACACTGGCTAGTCCGATGAATGAGCGCACTTGCCACGGCGCCATGAATGGGTAACACCTCTGCGTGTCGCTATTACAATTCAGGGGAGTAAACTAAGCATTTCGTGAGGCTGAGGAACCTCCGACTGCACTGCTGTCAGCCTTGCTGTCCAGGGCGCGACCTACCAGATCCTGAGGAACCGCAACCACGTTGGACGCCACCTCCTGCAGCTTAATCACAAAACGAATCCGAGAGGCCACCAATTTGCATTGACCTCGCAATATGGCCGGCTCGAACGTCAACAGAATGGCTTCGTTCGTCGTCATGAAATACCGTGCACTTGCGTTGGTCCCGCCCCCATAGTATCTGTGGTCTAAAACAGCTTGAGTGTGTCCTAACCAGCCTACAATCCCAAATGCAGCCCGTGTATATCGGAAGACGATGTAAGGTGACAAACGGTATTGCCTCATACAATCAAGGAGGCTTCTTTACGTACGCTTTCGAGTGGGCACTATACTGGGTTCGAGGAATCGCTCTTTATTTTGCCGTTATATCTCTCCATTTTGTGGCCCTTATTCTGACTGTCCCAACGGGATTTGGAAAACACTCCCCTTTTCACCCGTAACATCCCATTGTCTCTTTGTGTAGAAAGTCCCCATGGGATACTAAACTCCAAGACTGGAACGACAGACGTCGTAAAAGACGCGGCCGAGGAGTTCAGTTAGCAAAAGTATGACATGCGTACTGCACGAACGCACAGCGTCTGACAAGGAAGCAAAGTTGAACACAAGGTATAGATGAAATTCCCATTATAATTCCAAATAGCAATATCAGAAGACGTAGGTGGTGGGGTGATAGTGTCATTTCGTGCATACTCCTCGATCACGTACGTGCAAATAACAAAAGATTCCTGACAAGGTCACATGAAATCGATTAGCGGTTAACCGTTTTCCGGTTCGTGCGCAGTACATTACATTAGCTTAATTTCTTGATCTTGCCTTGATGATTTGAGTAAAACTGCGCCAAGTACAGATAACTTGACCTGTATTTTTCAGAGTTCGATACACAATTGTGTGCTACTCGTATGATTTTGGTCGGTGGTTCCAAATGCGCTTTTTGCTTTTCACGTTTCTTCCCCTTCCGTGAATCTGCTGCTTCCATGGTATCCCAGATCTGCACCAGTATCGAAATTACGAATTCTTGCGTTCTCATAGGAAACGACCGGGAAAACTACAAATGGTTTTCACAAGACGTACATATTGTATCCCTGCATAAGCCCAACCATTAACAAACCTGAATGCGTGGTCAAGTTGCATATGTAATTGCGATCCATCCCTTTGTGGGCACGGTTTCTCGCTCAATACAAATACCGGTACCGCGTAGCTGAAGCAGATAAGCGCCGGGTGTCATTGCCTGCTCGCACTTCACTACGGAGCTCGTAAGTGCAGGCATTCGCCAAGTAGTGATATCCCATTGTGGACCAGAACACAACGCAGACGCACTCACCAATACACCGCGTGGCTGCGCGCAGACAATGCTGATCACCAACGGTAGCCCCTGCCCCCAAACAAACGGGCAATGCATATAACCAAACGTTGCGACCAGCCCGTCCTGTGGGACTACGAGGTCATCTCTAACTGAAGGGTGAACTCAAACAAAGAGTCGATCTCGAAGGGCAACGCCGGCAGTAAGCGACACCTTACATCTCTTAAAAATTGAAAATCATATAATCCGAAAACGGCGTTCGTTGAACGGAATGCAGTTACAAAGATGTAGTTTACCGGGAAACTGATGCTGTTATATATATATATATATATATATATATATATATATATATATATATATATATATATAAGTTCCTGTGAATTAATGCACATTTGCAAAGTTATCCAAATCTCGGTACCAAAGGGAGATGAGGAGTACAACATCGTAAAAAGCAGATCATGGATCTTTTATTGTGTACACCCTATATTGTCTTTTATTTACGCCAGTTTTGTAGCGACTGTGTTAAGCACACGCCATCAAGCAAAAATGGTACATCCTTCACTCATTGAGTAGACTTTCGCACTATATTCACAAGAATTTCGAGCCATGGCGAATCTTTGTCCTTGCGTCCGCATGAAGGAAGACGCACAGGAGCACGGATCGCTAGATGACAACTCGGTGGGGCAATGTTTTGTCACAAGTATTAGGCTGACTAAAACGCAGCTTTCATGGTGCAGTCCTGAGCCGACAAACACGGTACGATGCCGTGGTAAACCTTGACATTAGTGGGATGTAACCAAGCCTCACTTTAAATGGTACAGCAAGAAAGACTTGTTGGAGAAAATAGTGATTTTTGTATGCAAGACGTCCAACCGCCTCATTAGGGGATCACGACGTCATGACCATACAAACGAAAAGCCTTTCTTCGGCACGGTTACGGAAGAAGTAAAGCAGATGCAATTCATGGACATGGGTTGGCCACCTAGCTGGCAAGTTAAACACATTGTCACTGGGGATAAATCACAGTGTCAGAATGAATTGATGCGCCCCCTATTGAGAGGGCAACATAAGACAGCGTTGGGCCGCCAACGCACCGAGAAATGGATCTGATTGCAGGACAGAACGAACGAACCAAACGAAACGGAAGACAGATATACAAAGCCACAACGACGAAAAGCATCTCACACAAGCGAACAGCAGAGTACACGTACCCACGTTGATTCCTTGGGCGGTCAAAGCTGTCAGGATAAGAAACAACAACTCTCTATACAACGAGTCCTCCAAGGCACAGACACAGCAGCGCGATTCAGTGCAAGGAGAGTGGGTTGAGTTTTCGAGGGGAAGAGGTGATACATCGCTGCAGCTGTGCGAGGAGTTGGAAGCTGTATCGGGTGTGTCGCCCGAAGGGCCTTCATCCGCTGCATGTTGTTGCTGCTCGCGTAGTTGAATCACAGTGGACACAGGCATTTTGGTGAAGACGGATGTACGCAAGCGAACGAGCAAGTCCAATGCGGAGAACACCTTGTTCGAGACAATGTCCGAGACGATGTACGCCATTACAAGGTAGACGGGACATGAAGAGATGGCCAAAATGCGTTCCTTTAAAGCGGAACGTCGATTGTCAACAAACAAATCTGATGGTCGGATACCGCGGTTTCGGTACTCTGTGAAAAATAATGAAGCTTGGATTAAGTGATTGCATTGAGAAACAGCAACCGCAACGACAACCATATTACAGCAGCGGGCTCTCAGAAATAAATAACGTTGTTCGGTGCGCTAGTGGCTCTTGTCGGATGACCAGTAAACTAAGGGATCACACGGAATGGGTGTAAAATTGTCTAAAATGTAAGTTGGAACAAAAATAATTTGACCCAGTTAAGGGATCGTGAATAACTGTCTATAACCAATGAGGATGTCAAGTGCAGAGAACATTGTTGAATCCAACATGCTTCGTTGCTTTCACTGGGTTGAGACGATTCAAACGGCTTAGCAATATGTGTCGCTCCTACTTAATGTATTTGTCGTCTAAACTCCCGCGGACTGTTGCAGTTTCGTTGTTGAGTCTACAAATTTCGGCACCATAATAAGGTTGTGCGCCAATTAGAGAAAAACGCATCGGCCGTACGCCGATGCGTCGCACCAACGCTTCGCTGCCACGCAACCTCCGAAACTGTCACGCGTGGGCTATGGATATCGCGATGTCGTAGGCGCCTACGCAGGTTCAAACCAGTGGCCCATGAGTTACAGGATCGACTCCCCACTCCGTCGGCCACAAGCCGATGGATAAATGTGGGTTCTACGATGGTAATCCCGAGGAGGGGACATTAATACTCTTTAGCAAACAGATGTCGTAGCAGGTGAATTGACAACTATCGTGCCACTCGCCCAAACAGAGGTTGGAGAATAGGCGACAACAGCTGGTTAGTCCACACACGCAACGGAGGTAGGTGAGCATCCGCGTCCTTTTTGGTTAGCTTATTCACACCACAAATGGCACACATTATCGTCTGTATAAGCAAACGTGGGGTGGTTTGCACTAATGCGGATTAGATATGATCAAGATGTAGGCCGTACACATATTGTGGGAGCCGGACGTGAATGTGAACAATATCTAAACAGAATGCAGCGCCGATTGGTTCCGCGTGACAGGAGGTCGGCTCGTGCACTGGCACCGATTCAGGTCACACGCAACCAGTGTGTAGATGGCAAGTGGTGCATTGAGTTGACAGTTGCAAGTAAGTTACACGGTGTGATGGTAACGGGTAACTCGTGTGAACCAGGACGATGCGAATACAATGGACGGGATACTCATGGAATGCCGCTTACGCCAACTGGTTATAAATGCACACGTAAAAGATTGAATTCATCCGATGTATTATGGCCAAGAAACAGTGATTGGAAGGCGCGCGCTGTCTAAAGAACACCAAATGACGAGTGGCCAGCCAAGAGGGCGAGCAAAACCGATACCAAAGGAGTGGACGAATGGTGAATCACATGCCGCCCAAGCGAATTAAACAGGGTGGCACGTACCGCATGGACAACGCACAGTTAACGCGGCTCCGAGTGAACAAAGTTCAGCGTCGCTTCAAACATGGCAGGTGTGGAATGGACCGATGCCGATGAACGGACGACGCGAGCGGACCAATATGGGGTGCGAGAACGGGAAATAGCCGATGAAAATTTAGGCCCAGACAATTACAGAAAAGTCATGACGACATTGCAAGACGGCTATTCGTGCAAAGGGGCACGCAAAAGGCGGTGTAAGTTGCGTCGATTCACACGCGTGCGCTACGCCCTTCAGCCCACCATTGGGTAGCCAGTCGGCCGGTGGCCGAGTGGTCTGCACGTTTGCTTTGCAACCATAAGATCACCGGTTCGAATCCGCGTAGGGGTGGGCGTCCTCGCGGTATACTCAGCCCGCGCGCGACTGGTGGTGGTCGCGCGGCAGCGAAGCGCCGTTCCGGCGTACAGCTGACACATTATTATTATTATTATTATTATTAGTGGGTAGCCATGGCAGACGGGTCAACAATGCACATGCAGCGCGTCAGTGCCGCTGCAGCAACCCGACGGGTAAGACCTCGTCGAATCTAGCCTAGAACCCCATTGTCATGTCATCTTTCCTTTGCCTTTCCATGTTGTCTTCGGTATCTGTTACAACAGCCATTTCTCGTGCGTATTTCATGTCATCCTTTCAGTCGCATCAGTCTGGGTCCTCCATCGGTAGCTGTGACAACGCCGTCCAGCATACCAGGAGATGTGCATCAGGTGCACCCTAAATCCAAATCCGATTCTGACTAGGTGGTTGTGATGAAACTGTCCGACCACCTAGGAAGTGTCTGTTTGGCATTTAAGCCCCGCCCCCACCCCAGGTTTTTAAGACCCGTACGCCCTGGATACGGAACCACTAAGAACTCTCGACCGGACGTATACAACGCACCCACCCACACATACACACACACATACGGAGCAGACACCCGACCATGGTGTGTCAGAAACCTATCACAGTCAAGGAATACAGTAAAATGTTTGTAAGTCAATCACTTAAGGGACTAGAGCAACGTGCTCAAGTTACAGAGGTCTCAATCCATGAGGTCTACATGGTGAACCTACAAACATTGAAAGAATACGGCCAACTTAGAGACGTGGTCAGGATACGGAGATGATCAACTTCGGATGCTTTACTGTATTACGCATTTACTAATTGAGAACACGACGGGTAAAAGAACATGGCTGTAATGCGTTCACACGGCTAAAACTCATGGTCCGCTCGGTTACACGTAGTTTCATTTCACACACCAGCCATGTGCATCGTCCGACAGACAGAGTGGCTCATGATAACCAATCACAACAAGGTTCGATATCTTTTGATCTTACAGTTAATGAAGCACAGATCTTGATTATTGCGTAGATGTTCAGTTGACTACCGGAAGGATACTCGACACTAGAGACTATCCAGTGCAACAGTTCATAGTGCTCTGAATAACTGACGCGTGAGCATGATCAAAATATGTGCGCTAGTGCACCGCACGGGCAGCCCTCTGTGTCGCAAAAGTCGCCCCATCGGAAACGAAGGGTTAATTCAATAGACAAACAAGCAAAAATGATAGCGAAGTTAGCTCGCAGACGGTTTCGATTTACAAAGAAAAGTCGCTGTGAAGTAATGCTCTGAATGGAGGAATTTTAACGCCCTTTCCATTGTCCTTCGATAATCAAAAGAAACTTACAACATTAAAATAGTAAAGCCCAGCACATTGCTCCTGGTACAATAGAACAGATTATATATATATATATATATATATATATATATATATATATATATATATATATATATATATATATATATATATATTTATATATATATATATATATATATATATATATATATATATATATATATAAAATCTAGCTGGAGAGCCTAAGGTGCACTGAGGCTGACGGTTGCTAGATCTTGACAGATGGGCTATCCACTGTTGCTACTGTTTTGCCATGGTCTATGTACTGGACGCCTCTACGTGGCGAACACTGGGTGATAGTTGGGTCACACCCTTCTCCCTGCTAAGTTCCTGGACACTAATGCACATAAGTCAGTGACTAATCATGTGCTGGACCCTTTCGGGTGCACATTTAATCGTAGGCTTTATTTGAGGACCTGAGTCGTGCTCCTGTCAGTTGTGGTTGCCCTGGCAGTATCCTAGTCTAAATCCCTTCCTCTTCGGTGGTGTGGAAGTGGTCGATGGCCCTCTTTCTGTAAAACCTAGCCAGGGGAGGCTACAGGTCCACGGGTTATAAGCTCACAGTTCGATTGGCTTAGAGCATGAGCGCCACACATTGTCTCTGACGGTGGAGGCACGTCCGGGTGTTCAATGTTTGCTACTGCCCACCTCAAGCCAGACAGCCTCTGGTCAAATAGGTGTAAACCCACCACAACCCACCTACTTCTGGCCGTGGTCGCAGATGAGTATCCTACTACGATAGCCAAACATATTTGAATCCTTCCAGTTATCCAAGGGCTGAATGTGACGGCCGTCAGGAATATCCGAATCTCTCTGTGCAATCACATTCCCGAGCTGGATCAGCTCCCCACTGCCTTGTCTGTCAAGCCATTTGGTCAAACTCTCCGGGTGGGGTCCCTCAAGCAAGCCTCCAAACCACCCACTGACTTGTGGGTCTCGGCTTCCTTTCTTGATTGGATCCGAGAGTTTACGTGTTACTTGAGCCCCCAAGCAAGTCAGCAGTTTACATAAATAGCTTATTGCCACCGTAGAATATACAGCCACATCTGCCAACGGTTGAGTAATTGAATGTTATGCAAGAAGCTATTTCTGGTAATTTGGCTAAAGCAGTTTGAACACTTTTTCGAAACCGAATTTAAGAGAGGACGCAGCAGGATTTACCAGATGTATTGTTTTCGTGATTGTGTTAAAACGGTTACCAGAGAATGTGTGATATTACCGAATGCCAACGTATATAGCAGACGGCATCTACAGCATACACTAACGATAAGACTTCACTCGTTTACTGTGCCTTTTATTTGTAAATCATTCCACCTGGTAACCATACCGACGGCATTTGCTTCCCCATTACTATCTCTGTCTTTAGCGATTTTTGATGCCCACACTTTTGACTACATTCATGACTACCATTTACGTTCACATATAAACGTTAACTAACCACCGACAATCGTATTGGTTGCTTATAATTTTACGTGTGATCTTCCAACGTTAGAGGAGTATGGCTGTTATTCTTACATTCAATCTATACTCATGCACGTTCGAAGTGTTATTGCTCAGGAGGGTTATTAAATCTCCATCCAATTTGTCGTATTGTATACACAAGAGTGAACAAATGCCCGCTTGCAACACTGCAATTTGAACCAGGGACCTTTGATATGTCAACTGATATCTTATGTTGAATAACTAAGTGGAAACCATTTCGAGATTCTTGTAAGCGCCACGCTTCAGCTTGACAGACTGAGCACATTTTTCACTCGCGTGACACCAGTATCTGGTGGCTAGATGTCTAACTGGGGCTCGCCGAAATTACAAGTCGCATTAACATCCTTTTGTGTTTCGCTACGTTCTCACTTGACAGATGGGTCTTCTCGTGTGACATCGTGACTTATTGCGGGTTGCAATATGAGGTCAATGTATCCCTCTCAAATGCCTCTATACGTCACCTCGTACTGCTGCCGTCATCAGGTAAATGCACTAAGATTCAGTAAAGTCATCAAGGTTGGTTCCGGAACAGCGGCAACACGATGTGACATCCAAATCGAAATGCTTGGGTACTGGTAACATTCTAGGCACTGATGAATTGGTCGACATACGCTAGCGGTCAGAACGAATGACCACATAACTATTAATTCTCGCTCACCTAGGACAAGACATGATCATTAGCGGCTCTGTTTTACCTTCCGACAGGCATTGCTTGCAGTTAATATGGGATACGGAATCTACAGCACACACCAACGTGCTATGTCTGTTTGTTTCAGGTGGTGGGTTTTCAATTTTGTCCCAATGCTTTGCTTTCTCATATAAATGTCTACCTGTACTCTATTCCATAAACTTGCACATGTCACTTAAGCCAATTCTAGTCCTTTTCGAAAACATTTTTGTGTTCGTGGCATTCCTGTAAAGTATACTTTCTGACCTCATGAACTTATCTCGCATTCTTCTGTAAACCATTTACTTCAGATGCTCATTACTTTTAGATATATGTCAATCTTTCCTTATGCATTACTCGATTTATTTTCTTCGTTGTCTTTCTCTCAAGTGATTGCTTGATATCCCCGGTGAGGCTGCGCTTGAGGTGCATGTTGACAAGGTGCCTACCTTCTATTACCCACTACCTCGTCCATACTGGCTCCAGGAGACAGTTGGTCGTTGCTAGAGGGGACAGGGTGCACGGTCCTTGTGGCCGTGCTAGGATCAAAGAGTGGTTCCATGCACTCAGTGTGGAGCGGACTACGGTCCAGCCACCGCCTTGTGTGCGCTTGATTCCCAAATACAGTGTGCTTGTGTTTGCCTGTGAAGGAGTGTGGGCCGGCTCCGTTGATGAAACGTGGCTCGCATCCGCATGCCGCCCGGTCTTATTCCTTCGGGTTTACACTGGATATGGGGTGTGTGGTTGGAGCTGTGGGTGGTGCAGCGCAAGCCACCCATGGTCCCTCTGTAGGCGCAGGCGTCCTGTGGCTGGCCACAGTGACAGGCAAATCCGAAACCGGATGCCGCCAACCACTATATATATATATATATATATATATATATATATATATATATATATATATATATATATATATATATATATATATATATAAACACAATACTAGACCTATGCAGTCACAGGCGGTGCTTTGGAGCTGTATGCAATGACAATGACGAGCAGATCTGGGGCTCACTGTATTAATGAGGCTTACATGCAATAACACGATAATGATCTAACCTGAACTGAGTGTCAGACAGGTACAAGACCTAGATGTTTCGATTGTATGGGAGAAAATTCCACAAAAGCATGGTCAAGGTTGGTTGTGGCAAACACAACATACCAATCTGGTTAAGCTAGTGACAGAGTGCCATAAGCTCAGAGATTTCGGGAAAAGTTTGGCTGATGCATGAGCATTGACTCATGATACACTTAAGGAATGATAATATCCATTGGAGTATTCGTGATGTGCGGCAGAGTGAACACTGATCACGTAGTTTAAGCATAAAGGCGAGAGAAACACTCCAGATAAAGTCAACAGAAAGATAGCGACAATCGTTAACATGCGTTTCCGAAATCTCCTGTCACAGGGACTGGGAGAAGTCACAGGGGACCTGGTATGCACAAAGGCAGATAAGTGTCCGCGGTGCATTATTCGCTGTTTCAAATGTAAACCCGAAGAGATGGAGCAGGGAGATATGCCAGTGGGAGCCGGCCTAGTTTGGCGTCGGTTCACGTTACGCCAACACACAAGGCACCCCAATGGATATGGGGAACGGGGTAACAGTGCTTTAGGGCGGTGACAAAGCCCGCTGACTGCGGACACAACGTAGACGAGTAGAATACACCAGATGTGGACAAGAACGAGTTTCATAATCAAAGCAGTCTTGGACACAGTACTATTACGATGACTGCACGCTTCTTCCCCGCAATAGTCGACCATGGCTAAGATGGCAGTATACGAAATGACCAGGTAGGACGGATCACTCGGGAATAAACTTGAAGCACACGACAAACAAACCACATCGGACATTCTGGAAGCAGTAGGGTGTAACATTTGTCCTGTTGTCTCACCTCCTACCCACAATGAAACGGATGAGGATGTATGCACATAGTCGGGGTATGGTTTCTCGCCCACAGATCTGAATTCCACCCTTCTGTTGAGCGCATTCAACACGTGCTGCATAACGTGAAAACACCCAGTACTCACCTGCCATGTGTCGGGACCACAGCTTGTACAACGGTTTGTTGACCGTGCCTCGGTTGTTGTGATAGGCGTTCCACCGGAGTGAGACCCGTACTGGTAGGTCAGGGGATAGCTGGACATGCTAGAAGAACATTCGCAAGACGAGAGAGAGAGAGAAAATAGATAGATAGACCGCGAAAAGACATAATAAGGAGGGAGTGCGGCAAGTGAACAAGAACACTCGTAACAAGGCCGGTTACATAAAAGGGGATTACAAAAGGCGAGCCGTCATTGGCGCTACTAGGGGGTGATTCCAGCGACGAGTCCAAAGTAAAACGGGAGAACCACGCGGATGAGAGGTGAAGTGGGTTCACTGTTGTTAACTTGAGGAGTGATTATACCGTTTCACAGCCAATTGAATTCATTGCAGTCGAATTACGCTTTAAGTAAAACATGTCCCGCCTTTGATCACTAAAGATAACTCAGACCACAATTGAATTGCATACAGTGTGTGTGCACGCATCTGCATACGTATTGTTTTTTGAGTAGTCCTCCAAAAATCGGCCAATAGCATATCGACACGACGGTCGCATCATGTTCCAGTCGTACAACTTGTACTCAGTGTTAACTTGGATGTATCGCTTCACATTCTTGTGTCACGTCTTCGGAAGTACGCTCAATAGATTCGGATCATCGAGCTCTATCCAATGGGAGCTATATTTTCGAAGTAAGTCCAACGACACGCTGATGCACCACAAACGATGTCTTTGGAAGTCTATTCAATAGGACAAACATGTGTAACTGCTTATTCGAGTTTCATCAGTATCCATGGGATACCACTCGACAGAGCATCTTTAAGGTTAGCACATGATATTTAAATTAGTACGGTGCACCATTGTATACCGCAGCTACAGGGACGGTTTTCGGTTCAGTACCACTATATATTTACTTGCATTTCACTGCACAATGCCCATGCGATTATACCTACCCGTGTGCCTAATGAAGCACCACTACCAAACCCGCTGACACAGATCCTGCTGACCGGAGCAGGCAACTGAGAGAGCCCAAACGGCGTGACCAGCGCAATCAAAAAGTACATGCGAACCGTTGACCCATGGGCCGGAGAAGTTTGTCGACCGGGAATCTATACCGTTTCCAAGCCGATTGAATCCATAGTGCTTTCAAATTCCTCCTTGAGGATATCATGTTCCGCCATAAATCATTCAAGATGGTCCATAACGCATTCAAGTTGAATCCAACAGGCGCAAACACACCTAGAAAGTACGTGCTGTTCGTTGAGTGACGAATCTCAAATAAGCATTATATTATTACACATGAGCACAGAGAGTGGGATGCTAGTGTCTGATTTGGATGTAGTCACTCAATGAAATATAGCAGCTAGGGGCGATCGTGCAGCCTGGACGTAACTTGAACGCGTTATGGACTTTCTTGAAAGATCTATAGAGGAACATGATTTCCGTAAGGAGGAATTTGAAAGTGTAGTGGATGCAATTGGCTGAGAAAAGTTATAGTGAGCAATAAATCCAAGGTCGATCATAGCTCAGACAAGCGGGGAACAGGGCTTATATCGACAAGCACGTGTGCGTTCTGTGCCAATTCCTACGACGCAAAAATGTGAACATTAAATGTAACGGAGGTAACAGTGTATCGACAGACAGGTTGTGGTTCTGGTTCAGATAGTCTCATAATTAAGATTGACCATACGCATACGATAACGTGTGAAATGTTGGCTGTTACGCCGATAGAGCAAAAGGAACTGATTGCGGTATTGAAAGGGAAAATCTCTGAACTCGAGTTGCAGATTAACGTAGGAAGTAGCCCAAATCCCAGACCTGGCAAAATACAAGAGCTCTCCAGCAACAATGCAACACATCCCAGCGAAACACAAAAACCATTAGTGACAAACAGCAGTGAAGTCAGGCCGGTGAACGGTCTCTCAAGTCTCACGAAATGCCACAAAGCATGCAGTTACGCACAAACTGTACGGTCACGTCAGTCAGTAGCTGGAAAACTACGCTTGGTTTCTACAAATATTGCAACCAATGGCGTTGCACATAAACACTTGCTGTAGCCTTGGCCTTGTTATTCCGGACACATCATTTTTCCGACTGCAGCTTGCAGGTTGAGACGGTGAATCACAGAAAGCGCCTCTTAGCAGTTGTCTACAGACCGCCGAACGTCTCCGCAGACAGTGATGAGATTCTGTTACACGCACTCCACTACGCAGTTTCAAAAAGTACCCTCATTACCTTATGATGGGCGATTTCAACGTACCTTCAATTGTCTCAGTGTGCATCAATTAGATAAAAACTCCGTGAATTCATAGATATGGCAGTTTTGCATAACAATGTGCATCGATCAACCAGACATCGCCGTTCAAACAAGATATCCTTACTGGACCTAACCTTGACAAACGAAAAGTTGATGGTTGAGTCAGTCGCACATGACCCTCCACTAGGCAGTAGTGAAAATTCAGTCGTAGAATGTAACTACGCGGGTTATGCCAGTATGGTTGATAAAGAACGCGAAAGCAAACGAACTATTACTGACTATTCCAAGCTTCGAAACCTGGCGACAGCCGTTGACTGGGGCCTAAAGACTCACAGGTCGGTGAACGACGCGTGGGATGAATTGAAAGGCAAAGTTAACTGGGTCATACGAGCAGCCTCAAAAGTTGTACCATTATGGGTATCACGCTGGACCAACAATTAGATCCGAAGAAGGACACGTAATTGGATCAACAGAAGAGATGAGAGTTGGTAGCAACATATGCTAAGCCCATGTGATACCACATGGCAGAATTAAAAAACAATCAGAAACTAGTGCACCTTGCTTATAATGGCAGACAAGTACAAATGACAGAAGACCATTGTACTCAACTTCGCGAGTAACAACAAAACACTATACAGGTATGTGAAGAACGAAAGAAGGGTTGAACCTGGAATACCACCGCTTAAGACGACCAGTGGCTTAACGACTACTGATGTGAATACCGCAAACGTTCTACTCCTGAAGTTTGGTTCGGTGGCTACAAACACAATGGAACCTTTGCTCTATCAACTCCCAAAAATACCGCCGCATTATATAGTGTCACCTTTACTCCAGAGGTTGTCGCGAACAAATTACAGTATCTCCGGAAAAACAGTGCCTCGGGAATCGCCAAGATCTACTCAAAGAACTTAAAGCTCTTACTTCCACCATAGCAGTACAGCTTGCAGCGTCTTCTTTTCAGTTCCACTCTGTTGCACTCCCATCTGAGTGGAAACGTGGAATCATCACTCCGACATTCAAAGGTAAGCGACTGAATCCTGCACACTACCGACCTATTACCCTCCTACCCGTTATATCTCAAGTGATGGAATCGGTAATCGAAGATCTACTGATGCGATATTTCGACAGTATGCAAATAATTTCCGAAGGCTAACGATTTCTGTGGCATACGACCTTGCCTCACCAATCTGCTCCTTGCCCGGGATTCATGGACAACAGCAGTTGATGAAGGAATCTGCATACACGTGGATTAGTTAGATTTATCCAAGGCATTCGACAGGATCAATCATTTCGTTCTCCTGCAAAAGTTTGTTATCTACAATAGTAACGGTTCCATGCTCACCTGGTTGGTTGATTGCCTATCAGATAGGAACATTAAGGAGAGAGTAGTCAGCATTCACTCCGAAAGCCTGTGCGTATCCAGTGGTGTACCGTAAGGATCCGTCCTCGGTCCGCTACTGTTTGTAGTTTATACAAATAACCTCCAGAGAACATTTTATCCCCGATGCAGATATTTGCAGATGATGGCAAGATATGGAGAGCAATTCGCTCAGAATCGACCATACCTAAATCCAGAACGATATGGACCAGATTAACGTATGGTTGGTGGCATCCGTATCCGGATTTGCCTGTCAGTGTGGCCTTCACGGGAACAGCCACAGAACGCCTGCGCCTACAGAGGGACCATGAGTGGCGCGTGCTGCACCACCCACAGCTCCAACCACACACCCATATTCAGTGCAAACCCGAAGTAATAAGAACGGGAGGCATGCGGACGGGAGCCACATTTCATCAACGGAGCCGGGCCACACTCATTCAACATGTACACCGACCGCATTCCTGTCTAAATAATTTGGGAATCACCAGGACCATGCATCTCGTCTCCCTAAGCAACGACCGACTGTCACCTGGAGCGGTTTTTCGACAGCATTCGCAACAAACGTAGCCACACCGGCGATATCTGTTTCGGATTCCGCTGACTGTACGAATAACCTGCCAACATCTGCTGTACAGACCCCAAACGGTTCTACTCGCAACGAAATGAGAACGCCAAGACCAACCGGAATGAGCTATCCGTACTGTATGAGTATAGAGCAATTAATAGTTTGATTGTTTGCTTTAAGCAGTAGAGTTTCACGCCCGGTCCACCTTCTCTCCCTCTTATTGTTCTCTGTTCCGTAAGACACTGTCGTTACACGGCAGCGAAGTCTCAATTCAAATAGATTAAATACTATTGTCCATGATTAGCTGATAAACCGGAGAACCAGAGTGCAAGTGACCAGATAAGTGGGCATGATACGATAGAATGTTAGCCGTATCAAGTGATACTATATCCCCATAGATGCATGGCGAGCATCTACATATCCAACTTACCAACAATCCATCCAAAACCTTGCCTGGTATCTCCCCTCGCATAGTGTCCGCAGTGGCGTTCCGCTGTCGTTCCAACTGCCGTTCCATCAACCAGGAGGCAAAACCGTCTAACAAGTGGGTGGGTAGACCCAGTCGATGAATGTACCAAATCAGATTCCATGCGAGCCGCTCGTATCGACAGAGGAAAGAGTGCTTCATGGGGTTGTACCGGAAACACTCGTCACCCTCTCGCTGTAGCACGGTTTCCAAGGATTTTCGGAGTGCAAATGGACTCAGGTAGAAATGCTGCGATAGAAATGGGGAAGTGGACAGTTAATCAACCAGGAAAGACGTTTTACCTAAGTAGCAACTCGACACACTTGCACACTACTAACTGCGAGAAATGCAATTGTACGGGGCAGCCACTCAAACACTCTATGTAAACATAGAGAGTCGGATGGATCACACTACGTGCAAAAACCATCGTCAAATGATTCCATGAACTCTCAACAAATTGATCGGGTGTGCTAAGGACCATCAGCTCCAACCAGAAAAATCTACTCATAAGGACATGTCGAGGCAAACGATAATGGACGTTCAGAACGGTGAAACACGCCTTGTACTTGTGATGGGAACGTCCAGTCAAAGTAAAACATAGGGGTCCAAGGAGGAAATCAGTTAGTCAATGGGAGACGAACTCGATCATTGGACGCGGCATAAGGCTACTTGTTAACACGGCTCGGATGATTGTCTAACGTTACTCATCCGTGGTATGGACCAAACGAATAATCATTGTTCATAAGGAAAGAGTGATAAGAAAGAAAGCGATCAGTGGGTCATATATGGTTGGCGGCATCCGGTTTCGGAGTAGCCTGTCACTGTGGCCAGCCACAGGACGCCTGCGCCTACAGAGGGACCATGGGTGGCTTGCGCTGCACCAGCCACAGCTCCATCCACACACCCCATATACAGTATAAACCCGAAGGAATAAGACCGGGAGGCATGTGGATGGGAGCCACGTTTCATCAACGGAGCCGGCCCACACTCCTTCACAGTGAAATACAACGACACTGTATTTGGGGAATCAAGCGCACACAATGCGGTGACTGGACCGTAGTTCGCTCCACAATGAGTGCATGGAACCACTCTTTGATCTTAACACGGCCACAAGAACCGTGCACCCAGTCCCCTCCAGCAACGACCAACTGTCTCCTGGAGCCAGATGGACGAGGTAGTGGATAATAGACAGGTAGGCACCTTGCCAACATGCACATCAGGCTCAGCCATGCCAGGCATATCAAACAACAGCCAATCACGAGAGAAAAATAGCAAGGAAAATAAATCGAATAATGGATAAGGAAACGTGACAAAAATCTTAAATTAATGAGCATATGAGATAAGTTGTTAATAAAGGATCCGAGATAAGTTCAAGAGGTCAGAAAGTATATTTTACGGAAATGACACAAACACGAAAATGTTATCGAAATTAACTACAGGTGGATTAAGCGATTTGTGCAGGTTTACAGAAGAGCGTACGGGTGGACATTTATTTGAGAAAGGAAAGCATTAGGACAAAATTGTAAACCCACCACCTGAAATAAAGTGACTTAGCATGCAAGCACGCGGTTAGTAAATCGAATGCAGCGTACCTACAAACGCTGCGACGGTTCTGCTTACGTTCTCTGCAGAACCCGTCGTCGCTTCGGTAGTAGTCCCGAGTGGCCTCGCTGATGGCTCACTAAGCCTGCCTGACTCAGGCACTCGCGACCGCATGTGCTACAGCACCATGCGCTTGATGTCGACGGGGAACAACCCATCGGTGCTTGCCGCTTCCGCACTTGCCGCTTCTTCTCCGCATGCATGAGGGCTTTCTCCTGCACCTCGGCAACTTCCTTCGTGATCAGATCGCGCCATGCACGCCGATCAACAGCCTTCGATTCCCATGATCTGCAATCAATAATGGGTTTGTCCCTGAAAGACCGATTGTTCGACATCATGCGCACAATTCGCATAAGTGTAAAAAGTCGTGACAACATAAAAACATGCCTCAGACCAAATCAACCAGCGGTAGTAGTAGTAGAGATAAGAGGGGCGGAGGCGTCCTCCGTCTTGGTCCATCTAATATGGTCGAACTAATGCACTCAGTCTTGTGTTGGAGACCAGAGTTAATGCTGTGTGATACGTAACGTCTCGTGTCACGGTATGACTTGGATCGCGAGCTTAGTTGGCGTGTGAGCAACATGGATGGGCAACTCATGCATTTAGTTGTGCGGTTCCTCAGAGATGTGAAGGCGACAGAAGTGTTCCCGTTAGGTTGGCCAGCCCGCGAGGGAGGCGGTTGCGACAACATTTCACACTAAGCAACACAGCAGTTGAGTAGAGAAGAGACACTAACGTATCGCTTCGAATGGCCGGGTAAGCGCCACAAAATTAGCAGCGAACGGGTGACTCGTCACGCCAACCAAACGCAAAGTCATGTAGGGACAAAGTGGTAGGTGGGATGGTTGGCTCAATTAGTCAAATGACGTCCCAGCTCGAGGCAGTGTTGGCTCCATAGCCTACGAATTGAGCGAACAATTGGAATGAGAAGTGGTAACAGGACGGCCATTGGTTGGTACTTGGTTTCATGTCATTTGTAGAATGATATCAGAAATACACCGGTGCCTTCTACTGATGCTTCGTTGCCACGCAAATGCAAGGGATTGCATGTGCGCAAAGATGCTGCATGGACGCCCATGTGAAGACTCGAACGTGCGATGCAGAGCTTGTAAATTAGACGAAGGAAGTACTGCTCCATCAATCTCATTCCGGGTCACGTGATCAGGTACGAGCACCACGACAGCTACCGACATGGAGGACCATCTCACTTGGCGGTAGGTTGGCTCAACCAATCAGGCTGCGTCAATCCGATGGTATCATCTGGGAAACGGCACAGAGGCGCGCATTTAAGTGGCTGAGCAGCCGCAACTTATTCGGAATGACCAGTCGATTAAAATATCCACATGTGTTACCGAAAATTTCAACCGCCACATGGATTCTAACCATTCGAACCACGTTAGACCAACAAATACTACTAAGACTGCAAGTACTCATGACAAAGCTGTAAAAGAGCATGAAACTACTGGATGAAAGAACACGTAGCTACGAGCCGCGTGGAGGCCTTCGCTTTCTCTGCCTTATCGTGACGAAGGTGTGTTCCACCAATGCCGCCAGAGTGGCAAACTGGAAAACACCTCCTCGCCTCTGAAACAGCTGCCGCATCTGATGAAGAGATTAGGCAGAGGAATGATCCATCTGGATCGCTTACTCGTAACACTTCCAAATGCACTGATGTAATATTTCCGTTTCCTTGTGTCCAGAAGCTGCTATTTCCCAAATACATCTACCCCATACTGCATGTTGGCGATAATCCGATACTCAGATCGTCCAAAAACCTCTCTTTGTTCACGTACATTTGTGACGCTTTTCACAGTCAGAAGACTTGCTTTTCATGCTCGCAGAATTCAGACGCTTTCAGTACCCAGTGTATTGACCGCAAATGTCGGTGACAATCTGATGAAATAAACACTAGAGGGAAGATAATCAGAAGGAACCGAGTACAGCTGAAGCAACACCGGGAACGAGAAGGCAAATCTGAAGCAAGGCAACCGAGGACTTACGATAGACTAACAACGGCGGGAGCACAAAGATCACATGAAGCAATAGAGCGAACGGCGTTTTCGTCAACTCCGTTGCGACTGTCCATGAAAATGGGGAGTATGTGACGACTGTACGCATTCAGAGGGACGAAACGAATTTGTGTGACGAAACAAAAAATTAGATTGCTGCAAACGAACGGAAGCAAATGATTGGACGTCTACGCATCGCCGTCTACGTAGATTGGTTAATATTTGGCCACGCTGGAGTGAGTTTGTTTGACTAAAGCAAAGGAAGTTGTTCATGAAGGCGGAAACGTCGCTAGCTATGGAAGCGGCCTAGTTATATACATCGAGGCTTTCTACAGGCATACTGTCATTTTCGCTGAAATCGCTTTGCTAAATAAACCGTCCGTTTCTGAATGACCGATTTTGCGACACTCCACAATTTGACAGTTAAGTTTGTGGTTTCACTCATTATCGCCTATTGGTTAGACTGATCCCCTGTCATCTTCCCTGGACTGCTTCAAAAGACTATACCTCACTGGTACGATCGATAAGGCACATACCTAGATGCGGCGGTTTATCTGGAGATATTCTAGCTGAGTTGATTAGCTCTAGGCATTCTGACGCATACAATAATTGTTCTATCAGACTTAATGACCAGTTTCATACAATACATAGTGAACTTCAGAAACGCTAACGTTTCCGTCTATGCATCCAAAATTCAAGAGTTTTAATTGCTCTCAGGTTATCACACCGTTATCACATCATCCAACGTTCGCTGGTTGACCCAACGGAAGTCATAAACATGCTGCGCGTGTGAGTGCTAGACTGACGGTTGTGTATATGTCTCATTTCCTTTTCGCGTGTGTATTCTCCATTGTTATTATCTTCCGGTACACTCGCAGAGGTCGTGTAAATGCTAGATTCATAAAGGTTATTTTGACTTGACTTGAAGTCAAGAACATGTAAAGGCGAGTCGAACTGCTAGCGATTCCGCAATACAACATCTCACTCCCTGATGATGTAAACAGAATTACTGAAGCTTCCCGGAGGGCTACAGTACAATGAAGTGAACTGCCACCGACAAAGCTCCAAACAATGCGGATGATGACATCAGTTCACGGTGAACCATGCACACGAGTGCAACACGCCGTGTATGGAGGAGTTGAAAAAGTGTAACCTTTACGGCTGTTTGTGGGGCAACTCACAATTCCAGTGGGAAACAGTTTCAAAAAGCGTGAAAAATACCTGAGGTCGTTCAACGTAATCATCGCTATTCACTGTTGATCGACCCTGCCTGGTCAACCCAGGGTGCATGACAACGATACAACTATGCGGACCATCGGTGAATTGTTCAAACGAGGTAGGAAAAATAGGGTAGAATGACAGCTTGTAGCCGTGCCCCTCAGGTGGCATGATAATTCTACACAAATCAGGGAAGGGGATAGCAGATTCACGAAGGATGTCGCAACTCAACGCATCGTGAACTTCATCAAACTCTTGGAAATTCCAGCAGCAGAGCGTGCAGACGTGCTTCTGAAGGAGAAAACAGAACAATGGATCACCCAAGAATAAGAAGTGGAGTTTATAACTGAATACTACGGTAATTTTCGTGAGCACACTCATTCAAACAGTTGTGAGTAATCGAGGAAGCGATGGACAACTCGGTAGGAGTTGGCATTGCTGCTTCCCTTGGCTAAGTAGGGTGTTATGGTCTCAAATTGGGTCCCGAAGTTGGCAAACATAAATATACGTCAGTTGTTCACGCAGCACGTCAGTAGCTAGTATGTCAATGCAGCAAGTGGCTTTGACACAGTGCATTGCCGCCGCTACGTGAACTGCCGACAGGACACGTTTCGATTCTGTCCTCAAAACATCGTTGATTACAAAATACAAGTATCTTTGATGAACTTGTAGTGGAATTCCCGGTTCACTAGCTGTGGTTAAAGAAACCTCGGTGGTTCAGAACCCCATTTCCAATGAGCACGCCAGATTGAATGAAAAAAGGCATAAAACATGAACCTGGTCAGGCTCTACAGCAATGTTGAATCAGCCCACTTAAGTAGGTAACAAACGAAAAGGTTCGATTGCTAGAGGAACGATTTATGTCGATTGGGTGCGGTGTGTAGGAGCGAGAGGTAAAAATTTAAGGCCTATAAATGGGAATCGGTGAACGAATGCGACACAACAGCTAGGCGAAATGCACCATTCAAGGTATCTCCAATGACGCATAAACCGGTAGATGAATCTGAGAGGTTGGGCGCTCGCACACAGTGTTTCGCTCATCCATTCGTTGGATACGTGTTTCTAATAGGTCTGGACAGTGCGCCACCGTTCCCAATAGAACTATCTCGCCACTGATAAGTCCAGTCAAGCGCAGGTATACTACTCTGAAGTCTGCAGAGCACAAAGCAAAACTAATAAATCATCACAAATCCCACTGTTACTCAAACGCTGATAAATGTAGCCGAAAATTGTTTGTGCCGCGCTGAGGGGAAATCCGGTTCATCCCTTTAGTTCGACGAAGAAAGCGAATGAGTCAGTGCGCCGTTAAATTGTTGGACAACGAAGTGTGAGCTCAGATGATGAGTACAGAGCGGGGAGCTGCGCGATTCGCCAAGACCGGGTGGAAACCATGTGTGCATGCACTAACACATGACAGGAATCCAAGCGGGCGCTCCAATTTTAACGACAATCTTGCAGTGAACGCTGTCATCTCTACTTGCTGACAATAGGACCGATCGGAGCTCAGAGCAACGCACTGTGACCGGAGGACGTGTGTGTTGGTATTAGGGATAGTGATCAGTGCAGAATCAAAGCAATCAATCAGTGTGTTTAAACGTTTGTAAGTGATTCATATAAACACTTATCTCAGCGTAATGATCACAGCGTTCATATGACAGCTTCGATAATACATGTCTTTTCGAGAAGATTCGTAGTAGCCAGCCACCACATATATTCGAAAAACCTTGAAGAGTGACCTCGTCCTATTCGGACCAGCCATCAGTGCGCATCTCGCTCGCATGTCGCAGAACTCGGAAGCAAATCTATCCTCTAAGGAAGAAGTGACTTAAGGCAATGAACAAGGGATAACAGCGACGAATCGTTACAACTGTAGGCTGATAATGAAAAGGGAGTGGTAGGGGACTTGAATGGTATACGTAGAAGCTCTTCACATATAGACTCAGTCAGGACGGCCATCACACTTCCGGAAAAGCACTAAGTTCGCTTCGTCCTTTCGGGAATCATTAGCAATGCGCATTCTATTTGACCATTGTGGGGATCGAACCCGCAACTCGACTGTTACTAGTCTAAGGTGAAGACCACTGGGAAACGGGAGACAGTAACGACCGACGTGACAAAGTTACTAGATGTGATATAACGCCGAGAATTACCTACTGACTTGCTAGCTACCGCTATGCAGAGTAGCCCCTCTCCGGGGGTGTGATGGCTGTCTGTGATGGGTTTGTAATTAGTGTTGATAATCTTTGATGGTTTCCGGACTGCAATCAATGATAGTATTCACCGGAATGCGGTCATTGGCAGCGTTCGAGTTCAATTCCACAGCTGGGCTCCCCCACTAAAACTGTCGGATGGCCAGAAACCAGACGGCGAGAATGAGTGGCGTCTAGTGCTAAGGCAAATGCGGGCGAAAGGAATACTCTAGCGATTTCTAATCACGGGGCAACAATCAGTAAGGTCATCAGAATGCAACACTGTATCTCTAGGATCATTAATGCTGCTTGTTAAAATCCTCCTCCTTTGTGTCTGGACCAGAATTCATAACAACCGCATCGCATCACCTGTATTGTTAGAAGGAACGCAACAAATATTAAAAGGTACGTGGTTTTCCGGTGGCGCCAAGCAACTCTGTTGGAAGTTCGAATTATGAAACTTGGTGAGACGTGTGCGAGCAGTAGGAGAATGGCGCTCGTTCAGAAGCGCTCGCGCTTTTCACACTTGAGAGCAGCCGCGTTTCCAGCAAACTTACGGCGAAACCAACAATAGAGAGACAGTGAGGCCATTGAGCGTGAGCATAGATCTTAAAATTTGTGCTGAGAATCAGTGACTTACCTCGAGGGAGGAGTAGATCCACCCCTTGAAGGTGGGGATCTTGGACTGCAGGGAGGGCTAGGAGATAGATCGGAGCGTCTCAGCTCTCCTAATACCCGCACAGTCAACTGGGGTACGAAGGCGCAAGAGCAGAACGGACAACGAATATCATACTGTTCTTCGTCCGCGGTCCATGCGGCCATGATTTCTTCATCATGAACGAATTTTCGGCAATGTGGGCAAGTGTTACAAGTGGTGAGAGACACAATAAGTTGCGATACGTTGGTGGTGCGCGGGTTAGGAGACATTGTATGTGGTTCCTCTGAAGGAGTACGTTCTGTGGATTGTGAACAAGAGTGGCAAGTAAGCTGAGTTGGATCTCATTTATGGGCTGTGATGGGACAATGTCAAAAATCGGTAGATATTGTCATGTGATGCACGTAGTTCATTCTCAAGTCCACCGCTCAAAGGGGCAAAAGGAAACGCATACCTGACTGTGTCCTTGCATTCGATTAAACATGGAGGCGGGGAGAAAAATGGATGCGAACAGTGGATCGTAGGTCACCAAGTGGTTAACAGCCAACCGAGTGAGAGATAGCCGTCCACTGACACATTGCGAATGATAATTGATAAAATGGTGATGGATTCCAGGCCCATGGATTACAGCTGGGCGTTAAATAAGCAGAGAAAAACCAGTGCGGAGAAAAAAGTGATTGGGAGTCCCAATGACTCAAGACCGCATGCGATCAGTTGGCTGCGTTGCGTCGAATAAAGGCCATAACTACTGACGTATCATGGGTTTCATTCGAGAAAGCTACACGTTAGAGGAGAAGGTCGAAAAACCGCACAAAGTGAGTGAGGTGGCAACCGAAAACGCAAACGAGGCGACTCATTCAGCGATGCGGGCACATAAAGCGACCAGAAGACATGTCAACATGTACAGACGACTATGGGATGCTACCAGTGTATTTCCTCGGTGACAAAGACAAATGACCTCTTATTGCCCGTAACGCGTAGTGGCCACATGTCTGATTTGGGCAGTACAGTTTTGGACGCGTTGCTAGATGGCATACCTCGCACGCTTGACGCACAAGCAAAGGATGCTGCATCCCCATGCGCGAGGTAGCTTTTCAGCAATCTGTGCATTCGGCTGCAGTAGTTGCAACTTCTACGTACCACATACCGGACGGATTGGACGGACATACTTTCGGTGTTCTTCGCACTGGAGACTAAAGGAGGAGGTCGATGCACACCCTCCCCACAAAAGATAAAACTAGCACCGGTTAGAAGATCCGCCATTGTGGTAACCACACTAGGTGACAATACATTGTACAAGTAGAGTGCAATTCAAAGAGAGCAAAGCGCATGCCGAAGCAATACTCGGTATACACATGAGGTTGCTCAGCAACGTCCTCAGAGAGCCAAGGAATCTAGAGGCCTTAAGTTACCTACGAACTTCGTACAAGACAGCGGATATACTAGTGAGTATACAGTGTAGATGAAGTAACCAGAATGAGCTGGTGTAGATACCGTCTAATCGCGAAGTTGGGGGTGAGTTGAATTGGGACGTAGCTGTAGCCTCCGTGCACCGCGGTGAACACTAGTTTTCCACGGATTCTTAAGAGGCCGTGAATATAGAAGAGCACACTTCAAACAAAAATAGGTTGTAATCGTTTAAGAATATGGACAGCGATACCCAAAAGATGAAAGTAAATTCTCAGATGAGGCAGTATAATCGGGATGCGTTGTGTGAACGTGTGTTGATGTTGCACAGGGACGTACCGTGGTCGTTAAGCCATTGCACTGAAGGGGATCTAGATACTGCACACGCAGCCGGGGGAGGCAACTGGCCACTATCGGGTGAGTGAGGGAACCCGGTACATTTCTGGGGAATACGACCGTGGAGTTGTGCGGACAGCGTAGCAGTGAGGAGCCGCTGATGAAGGTTGCCAACAGCTAGTCCGCCGGCTACGTAGAACCAGTGATCACGAAGATTTTGCAATTGGTTAGTAACTAGTATTGAGAGCACAGGATAAAATGAATATTGATTTGTGGGTAGCAACGAAACCCAAGTGAGATCACGGAAGCAGAAAGAGTGCGACGGGTTAAGCTAAAGTGAAACAAGTAGACAGAAATACCGGTATGGAGAAGAGCACTGAGATGTAGGCTAGTGGACAAACGTTCACATCAACACTATGAATTCGTGGTCAATCAGAAAATCGACGAGGTAACAAAGTATCGAGCATGCGGCACGAGAAGTTGCATCACAGCGTCTAGAGTTTGCCGTGAATAACTTATCATTAAAACGGTACCGCATGTCGCAGATTGTCGCACATCAACAGCACTCCTAAGTGAAAGATGAGGGCTGATTGTTAGGCCCTGATAACTTCGTGAGCGCTGATCCATAACGGTCTGTCCATGAAAGTCAGGCAGAGACAGCTCTCAGCTGAACACCACGGCACAGCACGCCATCACTAGTGGCGCACATCAGTGCTGCAAAAATCATCCTATCCTTGCCACCCCGACGTACACATCTAGTATACGTCCGGGGCGAGTGGGAATACATGCAGGGATATCAGAGGGTTGAGGAGGAAAGGCTAGTTCCTGGTGGGAGTAGCGGGTAACCAGAGGCATAAGATAGGCGAGTCCGGAATGCGGAGTGGATAGCAGTGGTGCACTCGTTTGGGCTTCAAACGACCGATCCTCCTCCACACAGTCAGAACTGCAATAAATCGCAGTCTTGTGAAGGAGGAGCTGTGCGAACGAGTTATGCATCAGCGAACGAACATATACATGGTATAATATTTCTAACGTTAAGAGAGCAGAGTATGCTTTGTACGTAAGCGGGAATGAGCTGGGTCAAACCATAGATCAGCACATCTAAATAAGGATGATCAGGGCAAAGAGCTGCGATAATGAACGGAATCACTCTAACTCCCGCCGCCATCTCAACCGGAATGGAAATAATGAAGAGAGAGGGAATGAAATACAGAAAATCTATCCCCGGGACATGGAGAACGCACATATACATGGAATAATATTTCTAACATAGAACACTCGGACTCATTTGCGTACATCATTCGTAGTGCCATTTGATTCCACGCTGCGCCTTGTGCTATCGACTCGTCTTGCAGTGACGATACAGTATAGGCTCAACGCTCAGGCGCCATCTATTTACATGGCTAGTTGAATCGTGCACTACGCGCCCGAAGTCCGCAGTGATCCATTATTCGCTGAGTTCTTCGCGCCCACTCGTTTCACCATACTACTCATTAGTAGTGCACCAAGGGCTGATAAGATAGACACCTTAACGGATCAGTATACTTTGTACGTAAGCGGGAGTGAACTGGGTCTGCTCACAATGTCCAATTGAGTATGAGTCAGTAGGTCCAAACTAGGATGACTCGAGGACAGAGGAACAATGATGAATGGATTTACTCGAACTCCCGTCACCACCAGAATAGGAATGGAAAGCAGTGAGGAAAGGGGGCGAAAAAAGGGGAAAATTGATCTGCGAACCACAAAAAAGCAACGGCTAGATGTGTTGGGTGGCAGAGCAGAGGGGCGCTGCTGATCTATCAACCACCGCGATAGCTATGGTGCCAACACGTCAATTCAGCCCATACTGAAATCCCTGTACAACGTTTCACCGTACAGTGTGTCCTGAATACCACCCCCTTGAACAACGCACAAAAGCTACAAAAACACCACACCGTAAACTTTTGATCCGTAGGAGAAATCCCAGTGCTTCGCCTTATATAACAGTCGTGTTCGAAGTTAGGTCGTTGGGGATGTGTGAAATCGGGTAACATAACCGGGGTGAAGAAGAAGAGGTGGACGATTGCAAAACGCGTTCGGACTGAAATATGAATACGCTAGGTGGAACAGGTCAGCCATTGCGAAACACTACGCTGTGTTGCGCCTGAACAATGAAGTTGGCGAAAACGAGTCATATCAAGGCACGAGGCTGTAGAGTCGACAGAACGCGCCTACCCCATGTGAAAGGAGGTGAAGGTTAGAGCTTTCATACCATGATACACAGACTAAGGTGATGAGAGACAAGGTCGAGGAGGATCAGAAAGACTCACGCTGCTCGTGGGAGTTGACAGATGAGTTGGCCGACCGAATTCCTGGGTTGAATTCCCCATTGTGGCCTGTGTTGTCTGTGGAAGACTGTGGCTCAGAGAATTTGATTGGTGGACCAGGTGAACCGACAGTAGGTAAGCGCCAGCGACGCATGTTGCGCGGCAGACGGGCGCTACATGGAGAAGCAGTTACAGGAGGAAGTCCAGCAGTGGTGGATCTACGCGGAATGTACGGACTGTTCTCCGCAGTACTGGGTTGGCGCTTGGGGGTGAGTAGATCTTTGAAGGATTGAACAAGTTTTGTAGTCAGCTCAGATCTGCAAGAGACAACGGTTGAAGTAAAGTGGGAAGGAGCCCAGCCAACAACACAAGGGACAATGTGAGTATGCTCACGGGCCAACACAAGCCGCCTTAAATTCGCAGTGTAAAGTCTTCCTAGTATGCATAACAACAAAAATGGCTGAATGCAATTTCAAGTCAGCCTTCGTCGATCGCACATCATCGTTGCGGACACATTGGTGTCACCCAACACCAATGATGCTTCGCAGACAACGATGATCAAAGACTTGAAGGCATCTTAGATCCTCAGACTGAAGGAGCCAAGTCTCACTCCTACAGAGTAGGACGGCCCCCACACTGGCCTTGTAAACAAGGCCTTCCAGGCGGAGTGAAACCCCTTTCTGACTCCACACATGTCGCAGACTCAAGAAGGCAATCCTAGCTTTGGCAATACGTGAAATGACTTCAGTTTCAATGCGCCCATCGTTGCACACGCAGCTGTCAAGGCAACTGAATCAAGCAACCAGCTTGAGTTCCTCGTTGTCAAGTGGCTGATGATCCTGCAGTAACACATTGCACTTTGAGGGCGCGAAGTGCATGGTAAATGATAGGAACCAATCTAGGAAGGTTATTCAGCGTAGTCTGGGCCGTTCCAACACATCTAAATAGCAAGATAATATTGTTCGCATAACCCAGACTAACCAGCTTCTCATCAGTGATCGCTACAATGCATGAATCGTGAGATTCCGCATAGGGACACGAGGAAGCTGAACAAAAAGGTGGAAATTGGATAACTCTGACGAACGCCGCTTGTTGTCGGAAAGGCATCCCACAGGTGAATGCATACCCTGACCCGGCCTGTCGTGTTCTAGTAAAATGTTCACATATTTTATGGGAACACCTTTCCGCGCAAGTACCTCGAACAGAATGGACCGGTTGACCGAAACGAACGCACTTTTGAAGTCCTGGAACAGTTATTACAGGCCTTCGGTAGGTGTACCGCTGTTCTAGCACCTACCGCAGAGTGAATACTTTGGTCTACACAGCCATGTCCTGGGAAGAGACTCGCTTGCTCTACCCCAATCCGGGAGTCCGATCTCCCAGTACATAGATGAACGAGTGATGAGGCGTTAGTTTGGTAGGTCGGTGGTTAGTACAGACGGTGGGTTACACTTCTTGTATATTGCCACTATAATCGGTTCACTTCAGCTAGCTTGGACGGTCTCATTCTTTCAGGCCAGTTCAAACAAGGCTAGCGCTTTGCAGAAGACCTTACCTCCATCCTTAAAAAGTGCAGGTGGGAGGGAATACGGGCCAGCAGCACGAAAACGATTGAGGGCTGTGATCGCGTTTCGCACCACAGTTTCCGATGGAGCTTACAAACTAACCGTCTATGGCTTAGCCTGTACCACCTGAGCAGAAAGAAGTCCAGCAGCAAGGATCCAACTGAATTACTCTCAAATACGCCTGTCATCTGTCATTT